CGATATCTTGTCTTTAGTTCGCGAAAGAGACGTTAGATAGCGAATTATTAATAATGTTTTGATATGCATGCATGCTCGATAAAGTTTAGCCCACGATAACTGGTTTCTTCGCGCAATATACTATATAGCGTCCTTGGCAGAGCAGACAAGATTTTTTGATATTCTTGATTTTAAAATATTTTGAAGAATTGAAAAAATGTGGATCTCTTTTTTATTATTATTGATGAAAGTCCAACTTTTGTGGTCACAAACAAAACCCCGCGGAATTATATCTATCTTTAAAAGTGTTACTGGCAGTGACACTGATAGATGTCCTAGGAAGAACACAAAGCTAAACTGAGGTAAATATGAAAACCGAAAAAATAACTGTCACTCAAAACTACAAAAAAAAAATGAATGTGAAAGGGGCCGACATGCACTTCTTTAAAATGTCTTGATCACTCAAAGCAGGTTACGTATGGTGAACATGATAAAGTTTGGCAAATCCTGTATGTTAGTATCTAGAGAATCCGCTATTATGACTATTTATGGCTGACGATATATATGAAACCACTTCAAAACAGGTAAAGTCTGTTCATAGATATAAGAAAGTGACTAACTGATACGAATTAAGGAAAGACCCGCGCAAGCTGTAAGAATGAAATATGGCCGAACAGGTCCGTACTTTGCGTAGAATTTAATTATTTGCAGTTTTGTTAGGAAAGATACTAAATAATATTTTTTATTTATGTATGTATTTACGTTTAAATCTAAAAAAAAATTACCAATCATTTTTATTACCTACTTAAATTAGTTAAAATTATTCACATAATATATCAGTATCGCTATCGCTATCATCGCCTGTTCTAATTATTATTTGTTCTCTATTATTTGCAATATGGATATACGATTGTTATGCTTTTTCTATATGTTTAACACAATTTTCCCAACTTTGGGGAGAGAATCTTTAATATTTTTCGCAGACAGAGAAAGTCATTTGGAATCCAACCATCTTTAGAGCCAGCATGCAAAATAGTTATTCTTTTATCTCTTTTTGATGGCGCGTTTGTTTTACACTTTCAGTTGAGTTAACGCAATCATTTTGCGGGGTATCATAGTGTCGAACCAGGTTTCATCCAAGTAAATAATTGGCCTTTGTTGTTCTCTGTAAATCCTAATTTTTTCTAGATATTCCAGTCGCCATTTCCGAATACTAAAAGATTCCATTAAAACTTGCCTTTTGTCATTATTTGCAAATCTAAAACCTATGTGTTGAATACACTTCGATAAGGTAGTTCTGCCACATTTAATACCGGTTTCATCTTTTTCAACCCTCCTAATTAAGATATCTAATGTAGGCACGCCTTGTTCCTCGTATAACTGGTAAATTTTACGCCGTATTATATCTTGATCACTTTCATCTACACTCGAGAAAATGTCAGAATCGCTTCTTTTTTTCCTCGTTGAAATGGGATTATTCACAATTTTCCATACAGTTGATGTTGGAATTTTCGTCAATGTGATCATCTAAAGATGCTTGCTTGCTGGCATCACGTTCAATGAAAGTCAAATAAACATTGTTTATAACTTCCTTAGACTGAATAGAATAGTGTTTTCCACATTTGGGCGGGAGCATCTCCTGAGATATACTAGACTCGCACATATTTTGCATAATTCGCACACGATTCAACACACGTTGTATTACACACGAAATAAGAATGATTACTAATAAACTTAAACTAAGTAGTATACCAAACCAAAGAATATTAAAAACAGGAAGGTCTAAAATTGTTTTCTATTACGGACCATAATTTTACCTGAATTTAAATTCCGAAACTTTAGGTAATGTATGTTAATGACCACCCTTAGATAATCTCATTCAAAAGCAATTTGTCACTTTCTAATATCTATAAACGGACTCTAACCGCAGCTATTCTACTCATCATCTACACTGCGTCAATATTGTTAATGAACTACCATCGAAAATTACGAAGATAAGTAGTCACCAACACAAATTAAAACCCTGGCTATTAGATTAGAAGCATGCCAGTATAAAATATCTTCAAAAACCACTTGATATTGTGCCATTTTGTTCCGCCGTTTCATTTTGTCATTTATAAATTATGGTACTCTGGAAAATAAAGTATTATTATTAGAAGATATACTATTTCGAAAGGAGACATTAGTAGCTACTCAATTCTTTTCATTCGGAATAACAAACGTGCAAACACTACGTACAAACAAAATAAATAAACGACACTGTAAATGTGAGTTTGACTCGGCACAAGCAGAGCCCGGCGGTCCGGTTTTTAAGAAACGATACTCTGAACAAGTTAGTTGTTAGGTACATTTTTGCAAAATTTATCAAAAAATGCCCGAAGCTGACGTCTTAAAGTGTCACTTATCGCACACGTGATCAGTGTATAATGGGGTATTTTAAAGAAGATAGTTGAAAAAAAAATCTTTTAAAACTAGCAATGTCTTCTTCGATTCGATTCGGTCGAAACGATACGCGGATTGATAATTACAGTTTTTGCGGTATATTTTTGATTATTTGATTTTGATTTAAAAATCAAAAATGCTAAAGTTTGATAAATTTTCCACAAGTGCCTGAAGAATTTTTATTCATTCGAGGCTCTACTGAGTTTTAAAAATACAATTACGGTTGAAAATTTAGGACATTAAAAGCGCGTTCGCTTGAATTTACTTTCCTTTGTGCGTCAAATTATATCGTCGCGAAATTGGAGTGTTTTAATAATATTAGAAATCCCGGACCCGTATCCAATTCTCCGGTTCTTGCGTTTTATCCGGCCAAGTTCGCCAGAATAAACACCGCCGTATAAACAGGATAATTAAAATCGCTTTCAGCGAGACTTCTTGCTGGAATGTAATTTGATACGAGCGTCGAAAAATGGCCTGAAACTAAACGGGGATTCGTATTATTATAAAAGCCCGTTTTGTTACTACAAAAATATGAACGTCGTTTATACAATTTGAAAAGGCCAGTGGATTTAGGCAAGCGTGTCACTCAACCGACCCTGTTTTCGAACAAAATATCCCTCAAGTTTGTCGATGTTAACGGACACGAGGTAAACAAGTCTCATAAATATTTTGTTTTCCTCGATACATACGAAAAAAAAAACGTTCTTTCCCTTCGATGAAAAGCGCGAAAGTATCCGTCGATCGTTTGGGAAAAACTTCAGAAACTAAAAGTTTTTCTTACTCGGAGAACCTTGAAAGTTTCGGAATTATAATTGATACGTACGTATATTCCAAAAAAGAAGCGAACGAAATACGCCGTGATCGGTCTAATTTGCGTTAAAAAACTTTTCAATCGATGTTACATTCTAATGGGGTGGATAAACGACGGAAAGGAAGTTAATAAGCCGGAAATTTTGACGATTTCTGAGTCGCTGAAGGTTTGAGCGTATCGCTTTTATTTATTATTGAGTAATGTGAGTAAGTGATAATGTGAAATCATAGAAAAATTTGTTTTCTAAATTAATAACAAAATAAATGAAATAACTTAATCGAAATTATGGCAAATGATTTTTGGACAATAGTGAAGCTGCTTGTAATTAATATATATATGTATATATATATATATATATATATATATATATATATATATATATATATATATATATATATATATATATATATATTCTCACGTATTGATTCACGGATGGAAAAATGTGATGACACTATATTCCGGGATATCATCCGTTCGCTCGTTGAACTCCGACTGGAATCCTGCAAATCTTGCATCCGACTGGAATCCTGCAGACGTTTCGCCAAAATCTCACTTGGCATCTTCAATGCTCGCGCTCCGAGTGTTCGAAGTGTTTTCGGAGCGCGAGCATTGAAGATGCCAAGTGAGATTTTGGCGAAACGTCTGCAGGTTTCCAGTCGGATGCAAGATTTGCAGGATTCCAGTCGGAGTTCAACGAGCGAACGGATGATATCCCGGAATATAGTGTCATCATATATATATATATATATATATATATATATATATATATATATATATATATATATATATATATATATATATATATATATATATATATATATATATATATATATATATATATATGTATAATAAATTGTTGTGAGAAATATAGCTTATCTTCAAGAACTGTGTGCATTTCGTAAATCTTCTTCAATATATGTGTAAAAGATTTGAAATACCAACGCAAGGACAGTCGAAAAGTCTACTAGTCTTTCGTAATCCAAAATCTTAAGGAACCAGTACCACTGGAGATCCTTGTACTGTTTTAGCATCCGGAGCGGTGGAGTATAGCTAGCGAGGGTCCAAGATTTATTCAACATCCAAAGATGTCGCCACTAACATGTTAAAATTATTTCTTAAGACATATTGACACTAACATCACTACACCACATTCACTTTTGCTTTAGGTGTAGATAAACACCTTAAATGTCACCTTGACCGATATTTACAAAGAAACTAAACAAAATTAACCTAAACGTAAAAAAACGTACATACCTACTATTATTGTACATTGACGTGCTTATTTAATATTTGAAACAGCTAAATAAGTTCGTTGATTGAACAATTAAGGAGCAGATAGATATCGACAGTAGACAACTGTTCCATAAGTAACAGACGGTCCGCCACACACCTCCGAATCCGGCATAAAATCGTCAAAACAATCTGGCTAAAATGCGAATGACATTTGTCGTTATTGTTATCCCACTTGGTTTGCGGCCCAGAAAGTCCTTTGCAGAATTTAATTTTAAGTGGTTATTGATCCATCTTTGCCCACGGAACCCTGAAGCCTCGTAAAATGTAGACCTTTTGTTGCGTTTCGGCGACCAGAATTTCAATGCCTCGCTTTTTTGCGATGTTTCCCCGCAAAGCGGTAATTATTATTCAGGTTTTCCCAGCACTTTGAATTTCGCCGTTACCTCGATATATTGTAACATAAAAATGAGACGGAGTAAAGTCTTTGCGATGCACTTAGGAACGGATAATTTAAAAATGGTTTTTAATTTTTCAGAAAATCCCAAGTTTAGTGCTCCAATCACGAACGTAACAGTACCAGTTGGACGGGAAGCAATATTGGAATGCCTAGTGGAAGATTTGGGGGCATTTAAGGTAGGTTATCAGCTAGATTCCATCGTATCGTTCCTATGGAAATACAGAGTAAATTAAAATCGCAATCTAACGGCTAGTATGTTGTGTTATGTTGTTAAGATCCTTAGATTAATTTCTTGAAGCAGATTAGGTTTGTTTCATTTTGATACATTGCAACCAAGTTACTCCAAAAATTGTGGATTTTGAGATTCGATCCTCGTTTCATTGAAGCTTTATCTAAGTTTTCATGTAAGCAAAAAATGTCTCTAGATCAGATAGATTTCCTAATATGCCTAAAATTCAAAAAGATTAAAAAACTGATATCAACAACCGGTCAATTTTTTCAATTACCTGTAAATATTATTTAAATTGACGATACATTCTTTCTTTTCAAAATGACGAGGGAGAATTACCAATTAAGTGACTTGAAGCCGTATGATCCACATCTCATTTAGAAAAAGCCTATCCAATTTTGTATCGCTCAATGGTAATTTTGAATAAAAATTACTGTCGTGTGACAGCACTGATAAATATTACTGATGATATAATTAAAGCAACTGATGAAAACAAACTCACATTTCTTGTATCCTTGGACTACACAATACGATACTGTAAATCATCAAGTATTAAGCTCTATTTTATATTTTAAATGGATATCCAGGAGTGTGGATCGATTGTCGACTGTAGATAAGAAATATCAATCGGTATCCTGCAACAATAACTATATATATAACTATATATATATATATATATATATATATATATATATATATATATATATATATATATTTGAAACAAGTAGGCATGAATAAGATTCAAAAATTGCGATTTATAACACATAATCCAACAAGTCATAGGTTGACACCAAGTCAATCGATAAATATTGACATTCAGCTAGACTCTCTAACCTAATAAAAAATCGTATACACTACGTGTAAAATTACACCAAATGTTCACAGTGTTCAAATGTCCGTTTTCGGGAAAGATTTATCCCTCCGAAACACCACATAGGAATGCTTAAATTGGCTGGCTTTTACTTGATGAAAATCCATTTATCAAAATAAATAAGAACTAAAAGTTCAGATTTTCACGGAATTATACATTTGATAAAGACACGGTGTTGTCGAAGCAGTCGTCACGTAGAAATATATAATTTCGTGAAAATCTGAACTTTTATTTCTTATATATTTTTAGGAATGCTTAGATTATCTTTTTCGTATCCTAGTGTATCTATTTTTAATCTACTACCATTCGAGATCTTTAATGTAAATAACAGATTTGTGTCTTATTTGAAAAACAAACGCTCGTAATTAATTCTTATCTCTTTTTGTTATTTTACAACACTGCTGGAATGCATAGATTATCTTTTCCGTATCAGAGTGTATTTATTTTTAATCTACTACCATTCGAGATCTTTATTGTAAATAACAGATTTCTAACCTATTTGGAAAACAAACACTCCTAATTAAATCTTAACCAACTAAATTTATGACGATAAATAATGGTTAGGGGTAATTACCGTTATAGTATAATTTCTTTGGGTAATATCCATTAGTGCATATGTATTGGACGGAGGACAGTATTGCATCGTGCAGTCTACATTTCTTTTTTCGGGTTTGATGGAATAAAAGATGAGGCTTTTTTGTTAGACCCATGAACTCAGTGTCTCCCCTTATGTTTATAAATGTATTTATTATTTTAAATCTCAAATAAAACACCTTATAGCTGTTATAGTGATACCACTGACATCAGTAAGAATTTAGGTATGAAATCAAATAGTTATATAGTCTGCCTGAATCTTCATCGTGCTGACTTTTACTCGGAATGAAATTAAACTCTGGTCCGGTATATAATAAAGGACAGAACATTAGGGACGGACATTCAAAGGTTTTGGTGATAATGTAGTTGTTTTTGTTTATTTATTTATATGTATACATAATTACATTTTTATTCTTAATGTCTAAATATAATGCTGTTTCACTATCAGAGGGGTTATTGAAATTAATTATAGTGGGATTTATGCCTGTTTTGTATAGAAATGTGAGAGTCCTCAATTTTTATATTGTGCTGTACTGAATTTTTGCAGCTTTCAATTGGTATGTTATTAATTACATTTTTTTTATCAACTAACTCTCACCTTTGAAATTACTTGGTTCCAAAAATGCTCCATGGTATTAAACATGCCATGAAATGAAAAACAGTTGCGCTTTTTTGCAACTAAATTTAAAATGAATATCATTTTCTAACAAATATTCCTGGATTCCAGTTTTTGAACTTGATGATGCTGCGTAGCGGACGGCTGTGGTTGCTTGCGTTATCCATGACAATAACACTGTTATTGGGAATGTTCTTTAAATGATTATTTTGAAACCAATTTCCGAAAAGTTCGCATTATATGTTCCAAGCTGGACTCTTTAATATTCTCTGCAGCCAACAGCAAGCGTTTTGGGACATATATTTCTTCCGACCCGGCGTGTATTACGGTGATGCGTTTTCCTTTATTTGAAGGTGCTTTGATCTGACAGTTTTGAGTGCAATCAGCCCATCCTCAAAGTGCGTAATCTGTGTGATTCCACTATTACTTGCCTTATTTGCGGTATTTAAATCCCATGTTACAAACAACTTGTATGGAGGGTGGTACGGCTTATATTTATTTTGGTTTATCTTCTTCTAGCTTCTTATTCAGTTTATCCAGGGTAGGTCCTGATCACTATTGTCTTTACGGTGAGTTTGAAAATCATTTCGTTTTTTCCTTTTTTTCAATTCTCCACTATTAATAATATCCCTTATAGACGATATTACCGTTTTTGTAAGTAGACAGGTTTCTTTTAAAGCATTTTGTTTAATAAGTCCTATACTGATTAAAGTTTCTGCCTTGTTACAATAACAAGTTTTTGGGGACGATATTAGTGAAACGCTCTTTGCCATATTTAAAGGTACACATGACCTAAAGCTTTTTTTATTGGTGAATAGGTTTCGATTACAAAGTTGGTCACGACCTCACCACAGCAACATTCAAAGCAAATACCACGAAAGTCACGGAAATAGAATTATATCGAAATAATCTTTTTACAATCAAACGGCATACAAATTTGGGGACCCTTTCGCATTACCGTGTCGGTTGTAAACAAATATATGCGACGCAATTAAATAGTTAAGCGATACTCTCTGTGTGTTTAGCAACTAAATTGGAAACATATTTGCCTTAATTTAGCCGTGATTAAACTAGAATTACATATTAATGCCCGGGCGGCGGGCATTGTGTGCCGATGTGTGCGGGATCGTTAAAAAATTAGCACAAAAGGCCCCGCCGTGATTGAGGAATTAATAATTCGATAGTAACGATGCCAAATTCAAAAGGGTTTTCGCAAGCAAAAGAGGCTACCGGGCGTTTTTTTTTTAAAAAAAAATATTGTGAAACCGTTCAGAGTGGACGGTGCTGTATCATAGCAGCTAACAGTGTTTGGTCGAAACTGAACAAACTTTAATATTTTTTGGACTTATTGAATGTTCGACAAATCGTGTCAATTCAATATGACAAAATTTAACAGAATTAAATTGCGAAAAATAAATTTTGGTCGAAGTGATGAAAAATTGCAGAGTATTTTAGGTATTGACAGCTTATAGAACTTCTGAAAATAAATTTCATTCTGTCACTCAAACATAACGGACGTTTTCAGGTTCGCGAAGCTGATTTTTATCTATAAAATATAATGTCTTCCAGCGTAAAAAGTCGTTCTTAATGAAAATGCTGTAATGAAACTAATCCTAAAGCTTGTCCTAATAGAGCCTGGTTGGAGAAAATTTCAGATATTTATTCAAAATACAAAAAAATTCGTACGCGAATCAAAATTTTCATGTACATTTAGTTTTTTTCTTGTTTGCAGTAACTTTTTGTCCTGTAGACTATGGACTCTGTCCAAATAATTCAAAATATCACTTAAACAGCAAAAAAAGTATTTTAAATGGGAGAAAACCTTTAATTCATTTGTACTCTGGATCCTTGCAAATACGGCTGAATGAATCGGAAACTAGAAATTAAACCTAGGATAGAGTAAGCAAAAAGGACTCTTCTCAGACTCAAAAGTTCTTCACAAACCTAAAGAAGCGAGGACGCTCAAAGCTGTCACACGATTGGTAAAATTTAAGCATTCGAAATGTTGAGAAGGATGCTTAAGTTATCATGGATCGAACGCGTCAGAAATGCTTCGAATGATTCAACTGGAATATTAAGAATTCTTCGAACACTCGGAAAGGAGAAAAATATCTTACTTCGGACATATTGTACGTGGAGAACGACACCACTTGCAACGCCTCCTTTTACATTTATTGACTACGTTTCGTACAAAAGGAACGTACAATTGTAGCAAGTCAGAAGTTATATTCAAGTGTAATAAAATCACATTAAAAAATAACATAAAAACATACATCTAATACAAACAAAATTATACAGTACTATACAGTTTTATAGCGCATCGATACCAGTGACAGTGTCAATGTATGCTCGCAGGGAGTAAAAACAATGCCGTTGTAGGAATTCTTTAATAGTATGTTTAAATTTTTTATTGCTCATCTTTTTCACGGTACCTAGCAAAATATTATACAATTTCAGGTTCAACGAGTTGCTCTCAGACTTCCTCAGTCTAAAGCTAGGCCTAGGCCGTCCCCCGAACGAGTTGGATAGGAATGGCAATCAGAATTAGCGCTAAAGTTTTCTTTCGTTCTTTGTATCTCTAATACCTGGTAGTAGATATAGATGCAAGGAAGGGGCATCACTTTAAATTTTTTAAAATAGGGTTGACAATGGTCCCTATATGCTATATTAGCAACTACTCGGATGGCCCTTTTCTGCAATTTAAAAATCTCCACAGCAGCTGAGGAATCACCCCACAGCACCGTGCCATAGCATAAGTGCGAATGCAACCAAGGAAAATAGACCATAATCAGAGTCCTTGTTCTTATCAGGCCTCTCAGTCGTCGAAGAACTAATATGTTACTGGACAATCTATTTTTCAGGTCTGAGATATGTTGTTTCCAATTTAGACTATCAGCATTAGGATCGCCAAGCAACTTGACGGACTGTCCACTATTTCGCAAGCAATTGGTACACAATACTCTGGATCTTGTCTAAATTTAATTTAAGATAATTATTTTCGAACCAGACATTAGCCCTGTCCTCTGACATGCCAACCCTAACAGACAACTCCTCGACACTCTTAGCAGATGTAGTGAAGGATGTATCGTCCGCAAACATCACGCAGTGATTGGGGGCCAAGAAATGATAAAGGTCATTTATGTAGATTGTAAATAGTAGCTGGCCCAAGACGGAACCCTGGGGCACCCCGCTTACTACTGATTCAAGTGATGAACGGTCATCCTGATATTTTACAAACTGCTGTCGGCCTTGCAAGTAGGACGCTATAAGATCTAAGGGCAGATCTCGTATACCATATCTATATAGCTTTTTAATAAGAAGCTGGTGAGAAACACATTCGAAGGCCCTGGAGAGATCACACAAGGTCGAACCAACTAATTCACCCCCCTCGAGGCCCTCAACTATCCCACTCACAACTTTAGACACTGCTTGGATCGTCGAACACCCTCCCCTAAATCCAAACTGACCAGCACAAAGACATTCGATCTTATTAATATAAGAAGTTAGCTGATCTTTTAGTAAGATCTCAAAAATTTTTCCGAACAAAGGCACGATTGAAATCGGCCTGTAATTGTTAACATCATTTATATCACCTGCCTTATAGATTGGAACTACTCTTGAAATCTTACACAGCGATACAATACATTTATTAAATAAAGTGGTTAATGGCAGTGTGATGTACTCAACCAGTCCCTTCACCAAGACACTATTGATATCATAAGCATAGCTAGAATAAGATTTTTTTAATCTTAGTATGGCTCGGTACGTATCCTCACAAGTTATCGGATGCAAAAAAAAGTAGTTTCCTCCAATGGAATCCCTTCAACACATGCACTCTGTACATTGTGATTCACCGTTAAGATCTTTATAATATTACTCGAGACAGAACTAAAAAAACTGTTATGATCGTTTGATGATAAATCAGATTCTTTATCACATCTCCCAAGACAATTTCTTTCATAGTTCACGATTTTCCAGACATTTATTGGTGCATTTTTGGATAAAGCCATTAAAGGCAGCTTTTTTGATTTGTTGAATTTTTTGTTGATATTCCTTATTTAGTGATTTATACACTTCTATATATGGAGGGTTCTGTGAGACTTTACTGAGAGTTTTAACAGCTGACACTCTGTTTCTAAGAGCTACAAGCTATAAGCTATAAGCCAAAGATTTTGAGAATGGGTGATACGTATGAGGCTACGACCCACGGCATCATACTTACACAACCACAAAAAAAAAACAGAATTTCGCCCCGCTTAGCGTAGCATGGTTAAGAAAATATCAGGTTCCATTGTTAAAAAAACACATTTTGAAGGAATCCCCTTGCCATAAAATAATATGATAATATATATTGCGTGTTTAATGGTTAAGCACTTTGTACATAAGTCGTCAACTGATAACGATTTTTTTGGATACGAGGATCTTAATTCAACAGAAAATGTGCTTATATATACCGAGTTCAAGTTGAACACATCTATCAAAGCAAGATGCGTTTAATAGAAAGTTGCGCACTGCTAGCTTTATTATGTAGCTATGCGCTGGCAGGTAAACTATTCAAGTCGTGCACGATAGCAAATTGCAACTGATATTTTTAGATTTCCAGCCTAAACTCGCCGCGTCCTCCAATGGCAAATATTACGTCTCCTTAGACAAAGCCAATTTTTTCCAAGCGTTTTTGAATTGTCGTAGCGCTGGCTTGCAATTGGCTAGTATACGCTCCCAGAAGGAGGAAAAGGACATTGAAGAAGCGATAAAGGGTGCCAACCCTGGAGGTAACACTATTATAATAAACTTCTTTTGGAAATTAACGCACTACAAATTTTGTAATTATGGTTTTGTTTTTTTCACTCTTTATTTCATCACAATTACTGCAATATAATACGAAGGGGTACCCATAAAAAACCGGAATTGAATTGCCGCGTGCAGAGCTTATATCGTACACCTTTCTGCCGCTAGGTTGTGAATAGTACAACTTATTGCAAGTTCAACGCCACCTTCGTTTTAAATTTAACTTGTCTTGTTCACTTGCAGTGCCATTTTTTGTTAACGCTGTATTTTTGTTATTTCGTTTTTTTCGATGGCAAGTTTAAAAGAACAACGTGCAGCTGTGAAATTTTGTTTTCTGCTCGGTAAAAGTGCTACTGAAACTGTTTCAATGTTAAAAACAGCTTATAAAGACGATGCGATGAGAAAAACTCAAGTGTACCAGTGGTTTGTTCGCTTCAAAAATGGCGACGAGTCAATTGATGACCGACCTCGTTCTGGACGTCCATTAACTGCTCGCATCGACGAAAATATTGAAAAGATTCGAGAGTTTGTGCTCACAGACCGTCGACAGACAATTGAACAATTATCAAAGATTAGTGGGTTGTCTTGGAGCACGGTTCAGCTAATTTTAACCGAAGATTTGAGAATGAAAAGAGTTGCTGCCAAGTTTGTTCCTCGTGTTCTGAATCAACCGCTTGAACGGATCCAGATTTTCTTTCAAAGACTAGTGACGAGTCATGGTGCTATGGTTACGATTCAGGAACGAAGCAACTGTCCAGCCAATGGAAGACGTCACTGTCTCCCCGTCAAATTCAACATCAAAACGATGCAGATTTGCTTTTTCGACATCAACGGCGTAGTTCATGCAGAGTTCGTTCCACCAGGTGAGGCCGTTAATCAAGCTTTTTATCTGGAAGTTTTAAGAAGATTGCGCAACAGTATTCAACAAAAAAGACCCGATTTGTGGCGGGCAGGGGACTGGTTTTTTCCCCACGATAATGCACCTGGTTCCTCTGCCCCATGCATCTTACTCGCCTGATCTCGCTCCGTGTGACTTCTTATTTCCACGTATGAAAAGGGACATGAAAGGACAGCGATTTGACAACATTGAAGAGGTCAAGAAAAAAACGAGGGATGTAGCTGTCGGCTATAGCCAAAGATGATTATAAAAAATGTTTCGAACAGTGGAAGCACCACTGGGACAAATGTATTAGTTGTAATGGAGAGTATTTTGAAGGGGATAAGATCGTTCTGTGATTTTCAAAACAATATATAGTTTATAAAAAATGATTCCGGTTTCTTTTGGCTACCCCCTCGTAAGTAAGGAATATTGCGCCGGAAAACATTTAATTTTTAATAATAATTCGAATGATTATACGTTTAGTGGTCAGATATAAAATCTTAGATAATAAAGAAATCTACTGTACTTCACTAACAATGAGAATTTCCAATTTGCAATAAAATAGATGAACTTCAAAAATGCGTATTACCTCCTCGAGCTCTTATCACTAGTTGCATTCCTCGGTAAATCTCGTTTTTTAATCTCGGATGGTTGCTTGAGGAATGTTTTCCCATTCAAATCTTGTAGGCTAATGGAGGCAGAAATATGACGCTGAAATACTTTATGTAGAGTATCGGAAAGATGCTCTATTGGATTTCAGTCTAGGCTGCGTGTTGATTACTCCAAAATTTGGATGTTAAATTCATTAAAGTCAATGATCTTGAATAATGCTTTTAATAAAACTTCTGGATTCCTCCTGCGTTGGTTTTTGCTTAGTCGAAATTGCTGACGTTTCGCCAATCATCCTGTTGGCTTCTTCAGAGCTTGACTGAAACTGACTGGTATTTTACTCTGTACCTGCTTATATATTGCTAGGGGCGAGGGGGGTGGGGGGTATAAACACCTTCTCGGATGACTGATTCCCAAAATGGGGACAGGTAGAGACCTGAGTCCCGATTAAGATTGTTAGGTTGTTTATAGATTTCTATAGACTCTCGGATTTTTCGTTGGTAGAAGAATTGATTACATGCAAGAATTTTAGTTTTAGGGAATAAAATTTTATGCCCGGTTTCATGAGTGTGTTCCGCAACAGCTGATGAGTTTATTTGTCTTAGTCGTAAGGCTCTTTCGTGTTCTTTGAGCCTAGCTGATATTTTTCGTCCGGTCTCTCCAATGTATTTTTTACCGTATATGCATGGAATGCTGTAAACTCCTGGCGTCTCAAATGGAACTTTCTCTTTCACGGACCGCAGATGTTGAGAGATTTTTGGACAAGTGCTAAATCTGGTTTTGAAGTTATACTTCTTCAGAACTTTTGACATATGGTCAGTGATGTTTTGAATGTAAGGAAGGACCACAAGGCCTCATTGCTATTGGAAGGTTATGGTGAAGTGTATTTTTTGATGGAACGTTTAATATCTTTTGTGGAAATTATTAGAGAGAAGAGCAGAGGTAAGGTGTTTCAATTCTGTTTTCAGTGACTCGGGCTGAGATAGTTTTACAAGAGTTAAACAAGAGAGTTGATAACCGATGATTTTTGGACCGGAAGGTGATGTGACCATGCATTAAGGTATCGGTCTGTGTGCGTAGGTTTTCTGTAAACACAATGACCCAATGTTAAGTCTGATTTTCTATTGATAAGAATATCTAAGAATGGCAGTTTTTTATTAGCGTCCAACTCAATGGTAAAACGTATTAGGGTGTATCGAGTTTAAATGTCTAAGAAAATCTAGTAGGGTTTCTTGACGATGGGGCCAAATAACAATTTTTCGACTACACAAGCATTACAGTAGCCTGTGGAAATTTCTCTGAAAGATCTTGAATAATGTTTTCTAGACGAATAGGAACCAGCTCTGTGCATGCCTCAAAATATATTGCTCCTCAGATCATTTTTGAACCATCTGGGTCCTTTGGAGAGATAGTACAATATAAAAAATGGCTCCAGGTCTGCACCATACTCTATCACATCCAGTTATATATTGCCCCTCAGATCATTTTTAAACCATCTGGGTCCTTTGGAGAGATAGTACAATAAAAAAATGACTCCAAGTCTGCACCACACTCTATCACATCCACTTATTTATATTCCCGTGTGAATGATCTCTTCTTCTTCTTATCTTCGGATGTTTACCTACCGAACTTTTGATTTGGAGTAGCAGAAGTTCATATTTCTCTCCTCGAAATATTTTTTCTCTCTAGCGGATCCTAATCTACATAATTTGTGATCTGTAAAAAGTAGAGGTGCAGCCTTCTATTAACCAATCTGATTCCTTTATGTCTTTACTTGAGGCTAGTACATGTCTGTTTCGTAATATCTGTTGTCGAAGAAAGCGCTTATCAATTTCATTTGTAGCCCTTTTTCTGCATTGACTACATTTTTTATGGTGTGTTCCGGTTTGGCTACATAACGCATACTTCTTCTCTCTTTTAACAAAGTTGAAGCTTTTAGGCAATCAACGTTCAGAGAGAACTTCTCTCACTTAATCAAATAACATACAGCAGTGAAAACAGTACAAAACTATAAAAAACAACATGAGCAAACTAAGATTTATAACAGTAATTGGGGGATATCCTTTTAAACAATACAACTAATTCAGAAAATATATGTGGTGCGTTAATTTTGAACAGCAATATATAAGTATATGTTGACAAGGCCATTTCAACTATTGCAGTCACCTATTTGAACGGATTCTGGACTTCGGGTACGAATTTAGCTAACATCGCGAGTTCGCAGTATTATTGGTTGTCCACCGGTGGTATGGCAATTTATACTAAATGGTTAGCAGGCGAACCCAACAACCAATTAAACAACGAGCATTGTTTGGAAATTTTTTTGGGTGAAGATAAAAAATTCGTCTGGAACGATTCTGTTTGCACCGTAAACTACAGATACGTCTGTCAAGATACTATATAAATGGTTTCCTAATAAATGTCTTTGGTTAATACTTATTGACTTTTATTTTAGTCTTCTGTTGCTCATGGGTTAGTGCCCAATTCAGTATCGATAGTTAAGGAGTCCATTATTTGCAGGTGGCCTGGCTTAGGGTTGACACGCAGACTATTTTAACGATTCACAATCACGTGATTACGAAGAACCACAGGATAGGTGTGACCCACAGCGAACACAAGACATGGTACCTGCACATTAAAGAAATTAAAGCGACGGACCGAGGTTGGTACATGTGCCAAATCAATACCGATCCGATGAAAAGTCAAGTAGGATACCTCGATGTAGTAGGTAAGCAGCGACAATCTTAATTTGAACAACCTTCCAGAATAATTTCATAGAAAAATTTCTGCTTAGGAACCTTTCATTTTTGATTTGTTTTGCTCCTGTTTTGGGGACCTAATACTATTATTTTGTTACTGCTAATATACGAGGTGTGCTCAAAAAGTAAAGTGACTTTTAAGTTTTATCAAACAGTATCTATTTATGTATCAAAATTAATGTTGTCCCATTCAAAGTAATACTCATCAGATATAATTTATTTGTGTCAACGTTTTATCCAATTCTCCAATCCTCGAAGCACTTCTGGTACGCACTTTCTGGTATAGCCTTGAGTTCTTCGAGCGATTTGTTCCTTATTTCCTCAATCGTTCCAAACCTCCTTCCTTTCATGGGTTTCTTGAGTTTTGGAATTAGGAAAAAGTCGCAGGGAGCCGTATCTGGAAAATATGGAGGCTGGGGGATGATTGTGGCTTTGTTTTTGGCCATAAAGTTAGACACATTATCGTGATACAAAATCCATGAACTGTTTTCCCATAATTCTTGACGTTTTCTTCGTATTGCTTCTCCAAAACGGCGCATAACTTCAAGGTAATTCTCTTCATTGACCGTACGACGTTGTGGTAAGAATTCTTAATGTTCTACGCCACTATAATCAAAGAAATCACTATTCAAATTCTTGACATTTGATGGAACGTGACGTGCTTTTTTCGGTTTGGGTTCTAGATTCTTCCATTAGGACTTTGGTTTAGACCAGTTATGACTTTTTAAGCATATCAGAATTATCATTGACATTGGTTAACAGCTCTTCAGCGATGCTCCTCGGGAATTCAGAAAAAAATGCATGGCAGAGCGAGGTTCGTCATCGGAGTCTTGGTCATCTTGGAACACCGTGTATAACTTATAAACATTTTTTTTGCTTAAAGTAGATTTACCATATGCCGTTGTCAAAGTTACAGTTGTTTTGCAGGACTGAATTCCATTTTTTACAAAATTCTTTGTTCGATTTTTTTTGACAGAAAAAAATCGCCTAGAAACAAAAACACGTCCAACACTTCTGTATCACAAATAAAAGTATACTTTCAAACTGGCTGGAACTGTGAACACATGTTAGGGACACGTGTACCAACATAACAAACCAAAATATCGAGAATCGAATGAACGGAGACCGCCCAAATACAAAAGCCACCTTACATTTGAACATCTCGTAAGTAATGTGGAGTGCGATATATTTTGATATATTAAACGATAGTTTGTTAAATGAAAAGGTTAAAAAATAATTTTTTAATACGACTACGGTTAATTTTATTTTTTGTTTAATTTTGTTAAGTAAAATGTAAAAGTGTTAAAGTAGAAAAGGGTCACTATACTGGATACTAGAATCAACAATAAGTCAGCTTGACATTTAAATATAAATTTATCGGGGAATTTTTTGTAACAGCAGATCGTCAAATGTAAAACGCCTGGATAGAAAAGAATATATAATTTACATTTACGTCGTTAGAAACTGTCGGTTGAATAAGCGGTTGGGAAAGCAATTCAATAAAGTATTTTTTAAGAAACCCCAAACAAACAAACACGGTCATATATTTTATTTAAAATTAGTCGTGATCGGTTTCAGTGATCACTGCCCTCATCTTCAGACTAGTGACCAAAACAAAAAACTTACATCAATCAACCTCTAACAAAAGACGGCTTTACCACGAAACAATATGTCTTAGTAATTTTTTATTATTAATTTCGGAGAAAAATTTATTTTTTATAAAATCTATAAATCTGATCAATTTTTCCAGTCAAATGCGAGGTTTTTAAGAAAATATGAACTTTGCTCGAGAGTAATGAGCCTTTAAACTGTTCTGAAATATATAATTAGATCCATTTGCAAATTTTTGAAAATTTTTCCAAGTAAACTAGTGGAAAGAAAATAGAAATTGCTTTGATTGTGGGAGAAAATTATAAAAACCATATGGACGTAGATATTGTCAATTTTAAACGTACCTTACTCTTGGGTTAAATTCATATATTTTGACAAACTTCGTATACTACTGAAAAACGAGATATTTTATGACTGTAGATTTTAGAATATGCAGAATTTTAGAAATGACATTTATTTGTTTATGTAAATTGTTTAAGTATGCTATTTCGAGCAATGAGCGTTCGTTGATTCACGAAGGCACCAGAAAATCCAAGAAGAGTGTGAAAAGCGTCAGGAGCATCACGTCCAGCGTTGAGCACTTAACACATAAACTTCTTAACCCCATAAAACCTCAGCTATGTTTTAAACTTCTATCGACGTTTTAAACACAACAATCCATCTTATAATAAATGAACTCTCCTTTCGAACAACCGACATCAAACTGTAGAACAGTCCTAGGAATGAGAAAACGTCCTCTAAAATATAGAGAAATTATTATTTCAAAACTACGAATCACCCTTTTAGTTATTCTTCCTTATTTTAAAAAGTGTGAGTTTTCTTCTTCAAAATTTCTTAGAAGTAAAATATGTTAACCTTTTCTATCGTTCCCCAGCATGTACCACGACGTCAAAGGAGATCCGCGCCATAAATTCTTTGGGTCGTGACGTATTCGGGTGCGCACAAAGCCTTTCCCGGAATAGTATTCGAACGGTAGAGAATATCGCGCCTATTCCAGATGTCTTTTAAGCCCACTTTTCCGACTGGGAATACGTTTCCGTTTTATTAAATCATTTACCGGGAGCCGGGGCGTCTGAAAATGGAAAATAGTTACAAAGTATCGTTTTTAGACGCGGCAGACGTCGGAATTTTTCTAAAGTCGTTAGGGAAGTTTCGGAAAATGATTTAAACATAATGAGACGCGGGTGCCGCCGCGAGTAGAGTTTCCTAAAAATAAAAATCGAATTAGCGAGACGTTCCCAATGGCGGTAAGAAAAATTCCATTAATGTAATTGATACCGGGAGACGAAATGGGATTAACCATTTGGATCGATGCTAGAGTGTGGTCGGTAATTAACTAAGATTTTCCTAAGTACGGATGTCATTAGCAGCAAACGACCTTGCCAACGTTTGGATTTACTAGAAAGTTCTATCAGAAATAATTCGTAGCGAAAAAAGAATCAGTAACAACTATATTTATTTTCACCAGATAATGTTAAATATTTTTGGTTATGATTTTCAATTAAAGGAAACTTCAATTCAAAAATCTCTAGTTGAAATGGAAACGTCTGATATAGTCCATCCGCTGCAAGATTTAGTCATCTTCAAGATATTGAAATCAACAATCATTTAATAAAGCAATACTCAAATCGCAAGAACTTAAACATTTTCAGAGGTTATTCGGACACGGACAGTAGAAACTTCCTGCATGTTAACCAAGGTTAACCATTAAATGAACCAACTTCCTTTATAATTGTGTTCTGAGTACTGAAGTTCTTTGTTTTCCTTTAAACTGCGAAGGTCTACGAAATTATTTGCCTAAGTTAATTTACTTAGTTTTAGATTAAACCTAATTATCCAATAATGCCAAAGATTGTTTTACATTTTCTAGGGACCGTAGCAATAGAAAATCGCCGTCATATGTTCGCGCTATATAGAAAATATTTAAAATATTTTACCATTTTAATCAATTAAAAATAATCTGATAAACTGATTGCTTCATTGAAAACCACCTCGCAAATGGTGTTAAAGTTTATTAGAAAATTAAAGTAAATATTTTTCATGTTTGCAGCTATATTCAAGCCGCTTCTACAAACAAATCGACAGCGCTTGCTATTGTTTGCGAAAAAACATTAAATTCTCTTGTTTGACACTGCAAAAGAAAATTTTATATAACCTCCAACCAATTAATTACTTTTAAGATTGGACACTAGCCAGTCATCATAATGGTTAATTATTTAATTAATTAACTAGTGTTAATATCGCTTGGTTAAAACCGAAATTTTTCTTAATTTTTCAAAGAAACTTCCACAAGCTACTGTAAGGAATCTTCTGGATACCTCCTCGCTTGGTTGTTGGTTAATTGAACTTGCGAGCAACCAAGTTTCTATTTTTGATTGTTTATCATAGAAATGAATGGGACTGGAATCGACTGGTATGTAGCTATGGTTCTGGGTTCTCCCATGATGACTGGGCTTTGGTTTGGAAGGCGCGTAACCATGATGACCCAGTGATGATTCCAGTTATGACCTTTTTAAGTATATCATTTCATCAGTTATTAACGTAAATTTTGGAACAGCTTGTATCACTTATAAGCATTTTTTTTTGTTTAAAGTAGATTCACAATATGCGTTGTCAAAATTTCAAGAGTTTTGGAGGACCGTATTCCATTTTCACACAAAATGTAATGTAAATTCTGTTTTCCAATTTTTTTTTACGTCAGAGCACAAAAAACACCTCTAACGCTTCTTCTGTCTCACGAATAAAAGTAAACGTCCAAATTGACAAACAAATATACGTTAGGGACATGGGTACCACCATAACAAAAAAAAATATCGCAGATCGCCTTACTTCTTGAACACAAGGTTAAGGTTTACACCGAGAAACTCAGTTGAAGACTACACTTTCATTTTCATTCTAAGTGGCGCAACTGAAAAGCACACAAGCCTAACATTTTTTATTTTCAGAATAATTTTGTTTTAATTAAATATAAATGAAACTATGATAGTGATTACATATTTCTTCTGGTATTTTTGCGATTTCTTGACGAATAGCAACTTCTAGTTTTTGAATGAGACGGAGTTTGTTAGCGTATAGTCCCACAAATAAAGTCGTAGGCAGATAAGCCTGGGGAACGTGGGGGTCAAGAAAACATCATCGCATCTTAACACATTCCATTGATGCTCTCGCCACGAGGGCTACACCCAAGAGCTCCGCATAGTAAAGTTACCCTTATTACAAAACTTCTGGATTCCTCCTGCGTCGGTTTTTGCTGAGTCGAACTTGCTCACGTTTCGCCAATCATTCTGTTGGTTTCTTCAGAGCTTGACAGAAACTGGCTCGTATTTTACTCTGTACCTGCTTATATATTGTTTGAGGT